GAGAGAGTGCGGAGTTCGGGCTTCAGTGGGCCAAAGCAAAGAAAAAAAGGTCTCCTCGTGATAATTAAATCTTCTCACACTGATTTTCTGCCAAATTTATTTCCCTGGGGACCATAACTCTGATTCAGTGCTTACAAGCCACGCATAACTAATCATTTCAACATGAAGGGAACCACCAACCTGAATGAGGAGGGAAGAGAAGAGGGAGGTAATGGTAGAAACAGTGACATAAATTTTATCAAAACAAATGTACATGACTGAAAGTATGTCTGGTTTACAAGTAAGGCTATAAAAAAGAAAATACTAGCATTGGCTTTGATATCTGCCAGTACTGTTAAACTCAAATTCAAACTTTATTTTCTAGTTTAGGAGTAAATGTCCTGTTCTTTTAGCCCTTCAAATCATAAAAAAGTGAAATTATTACGCAATCATTAAACAGTCTGAACAAATCCCAAAATCTATAATTCATGTATTTATTAAAGCACGACTCACATTCACTAAACCTTTGCACTATATTGATTTGAAATAGAAGTAATTTCCTGTAAGAATGTTTTATGGTTTAAACCCTGTCAATATGTTCTTTTTTAGCTCTTCTTCAGGGCACAGTTCCTTAAATTCCTGGAACCAAAATGGTAGCCGCAGATGAAGCCAATGAAGTGTCAGTTCAATATTCCTCTGACTGTTCCTGGCATGATTGTGTTGAACATAATAACACAACAAATAAGGCCATTTATCTGAAATAACGACAGGAGATGAGTGCGACTCCGCTAATCAATACCTGATCAATGCTAAGCGGATTTTCTTACATCAAAATCACTGAGACAGATCTTTCTTCAGCGTGGAGTGCACAGGACCAATACAGCAGCCTCCCCCGGGCTCCAGTGTAGATCACATAGCCAGTGGAGAGACAGATTTAAAAAAAAACATAATGGTGTATGGGAGAGGATGCTGGGAACGATAATTATAGCATGGTATAATTCAGACACTCTCCTTATTGAAAGCTCATGTTTTAGCTAATACAATCAGATGGCGAACGCAGATCACACGTGTTTACTATCAGTTGAATTTCACCGCTTGTCCTTCAAGTGGTGTTGCCGTGTGAGCGAGCCAGTGCCGTGGCCTTGGTAATTAAAACATTTAAAGCAGGTCCAGCCCCCCGTGCGCCCCCCGCTGGTGTGATGTGGGGGTCACGCGCCTGTAGATTCTAATTTGCGCGCCATTTGTATTCATGACAAGCACGTGCTAAATATTTAACAGCGGCCCCGGCAGGAGTTTTTGTATTGTTAGGCTTTCCAGGTCAAATAATTTGATTTCCAGGCAGATTACATTAAGCGTCAATGTCCAAGCCACCACTCTTCACTTGCCTCTCATTTCCTGTCCTTTTATTACAACCCAAATAGGCTTCTGAAAACTGAAAAGGGATAAGGCTTTGGATTACACAAGAGCTTGTTATGCACAGATTAGTTATTATTTTCAATTAGAAACTAGATCACATCGTTTATTATGAACGCACACACCCACAATGGTACACTTGTGCGCAGAGCGGAAATTTTAGCTGACTGACAAATCTTTGAGAAGAGCTTTAATCACACCTAACTGGAGAAATATGACTTCACAGCACATACACAGTAGCATTTTGCTTTTATTGATCGACCTTGACTGAGGCTGTTTAGGTGTATTTCGAACAAGTACATGCAGAAACTAAATCCAGACATTTTTCTTGCCCCCGTTTGAGCCAAGGCCATTTGGTGATTGACAACATGAGCTAGTTATACGGTGATGAGGCGTTAATGGATGCTAGGTCGAGGAAGTGAAAGGGGGTGGGCTGGTGGAGGTGGGTGCTCAGGGCTGAATATTTAATGGTCATATAATTCCCGAAAACAGACACACACGCATAGGTAACACACACCTGCCCCATGACCTGTCCTACACACTGCGTAATTAGGGAAACAGTCCTTTCGTTTAAGTGCCCAAAGAGCAAACGGTAGGTATATATTCCCCCCTAATGATATGGGTTAAGGAACTATTATACGTCTCATTAAAATATATGATCTCCCAATCTGCTGCTGGTTTGAGGTAATGAGGATAGAGTGGCATAAGGGCTAAAATACCAACTGGAGGCTATAGGCTGGTGTCCAAGCTCATAGGCAACATTACAGTGTCAGCGAATGGATGGGGAAATTAAGAGGTTTAAAAAGGGTTATACTGCTGGATGTAATTTCAAGTGTTGGTGATTTCATTTTTTTTTTGTGTTAGCAATGATGTCAAATGTATTGATTGTCAAGCTGTCAAAAGAATACTATTTCTATATCAACACAGCATTTTTCATAAGAAATTATTGTGTTTTTTTTAAAGTGTTTGTACAAGTCCCATGACTTTAGAAATGTCAGGTCATCTGGTTTAAAGCAAATCATTGCTAATGTAGCAGTTCATATAGGTCACAGAGTCAGAGCTTGATTTGTGGTGACACCTGCAGGAATAAACTAAACAAACACTGAAACAGAATCTGAAATATAGTATATCTGAGTTTGGTAAAAAGATGATTGTATAAAATAATTGTTGATTGCCAATACTGATTAATTATCACAAGAACGGTTTATTTCTTAATAGCCTTTGTACTTTGTATAACAACTAAAAAACAGAACTGAATGTGAGATGAATGTGTGTAATAGAACACCACATTGATGCAGCCCACTTTAACTGTCTACAGTTGAAACAAACACATTGACTTTATCCTCCTCACTGATAGAGTCCATCTTATTATAGCTGGACTCACTGTGTTAGCTAAAAGCCTCCTGGGCAAACAAACAACATCTCTGCGCTTTAATAGCCTAAACAAGGCATACAACTAACAAAGACTTCATCCTCCCCTCTCATTCTCTAAGCCTTTTATATCACGCTTCCTTTTTTCAACCACTAGCATCATCTGGCTGCCCTTAACCGGAGAGGCAAACTCGGCTTTTAAGTGAAGACTACTTTGTTAACTGATGACCACAGGGCCAGTTATTGATCCTATTCTTTCTCTCTCTCACTAAGCCCTGTTCATAAACCCCCTCTCCTCCGTACTGTACAGTTTTCTGCAATAACAGCTTGCATATCACAGCGCGCACATGAATCAGACGGCCGTGGTTGGGTTTCGATTAGGGCTAAACTAACTCAAATACATTGGCAAATTCCAGGATGTGGATCTATTTATGAACGGCGAGTGTAGGAGGTAGTGTTGTTCACTTCTCCCCTCTCCGTTGCCTTTAAAGGTTTTCTCATTTCGGTTGACTTGGCGGTTCAAGTGTAAACTTTCTAGTCGTGTTGACCTCTACCAGGCCCTGCAGGGAATAATGAGACCCCTGATGATCCACTGTTAAGCTGCTGCAGTGGCTTAGCGCCGCACTTTCACTTGGAGCTGTGAAAGAAGGCCAAGAGAGAATGGAGCTGGCTGACTCTGCCTGTAGTGTGCATGTGCGTGCATCTATTTGGCCTGGCAACTCTACGGGATCTCTTACTAAATCGAAAGGGTCAGACATTTTGATCCATCTACATGTGTCCCAGTTTGCTGTAAGAATAAAATGATTGTCCCTCTTCTCAAAGGAGGTGACAACTCAGCATGCAGTTTAATGGCACAACCTGGCACAGAATCTTACTCCACACAGTTGGATGAGAACAAGTTGGAAGCGGAAAAAAGGGCAGAAAAAGTCAAGTGTTTCCAAAAAAGTCAACGTCGGTGCAGAGCGAGTTTTTTTTTCAAGAAGCTTTGACTGGAGGCCCCGCTATGCCGCCCCGAGCGTGGTACTTAGTCACCAATTTGGCATCGCCTGCACACGAAGCAAGGTGATATGGGAGGATTGGAAAACGTAAAAAAGGAAACTAGAGAGGGCAGGAAAGAAGTGTACAAGGACAGGAGGTGATGAAACAAGAGTGAGACATAAAGGATGAGGAGATTGTGAAAGTGGAAGGGTTAAACATGGACACTGCAACAAATTATTGAGGTGTTTATAACAAATATAAATCAAAATGGCTAGTATACAGCTGAAACCACAGACCAAGATATTGGATTTGTTCTTGGTATCAATGCAACAAAGATGAATATTAATAATAAAATGGTATAAAGCCTGAAAACTAAAGCACAGTAGTGAATAGGAGAGAAAAAAAAATCTTCTACCAAGGCAAGAGGCTAATTGAGTTTAGGATGGTAGGATTTTCTATTTGGCTGAAAGGTCAGTGGACATTAAAGGTTGTAACACAGTGCCTAAAAAACTCCAAATGAGAAGTTAAAGTCTACCAATAACAGAAGAACAGCACAAATGATGTTAGGAGATGTCACACAACGATAATTTGATTTTCTCATTAATATCATGCTCTGGTCAGGACAGGGCCCAGGGTCATTACTCTTTCTAAGGATTTTTATTACTGCTAGCACAGCGGCAGCAAATTACACTTGACTTTTTATGAAGCTGTATTAAGAACATTTATGTGGGCCTGTGTACAGTACGTATAGTGTATAGTGTCATGTGTGTGCCCATACTAAGGAGAGTAACTTGTATACAAAAATGTATGCTTATGCCATAAAGTAGTCTTAATCTTTTAAATTAATGTTTTGTGTGCAAAGAACATAAAAAAGCAGTTTGATTCCAACATGTTCCATCTAATTCACAAACAACAAATGAAACAAACAGAACATGTTGCAACACCTGTCTTACAATGCAGACGTCAGAGATGTGGTGTTGTTTCTCAAAAGTAATAACAGTGTATACATGAAACAAGTGAGAAACAGATGTAACACAAAAGTTGGGACATTTTGTAAAATTCTATTTTAAAAAATGAGTAAGTTTCATCCACATTTTATTCACAATTTTCCAGTGCATACCCAGTCTACCTTTCAGAAATAGTTTTGAAAATGCAAGTATTTTTAATTAAACATGGGATTAAAGTGTTTATGTAGCCTTATGTTTATGTAGCCTAATGTGGTCCTTAATTGTGTTTTTGTATTGTGCACTTCTAACTACCTTCCAGCAGTTTCTTGCGGGCATCTTCTTCTCTTTTTGCCACTTTAGCCTTTAGCGCCTCGTCTGTCTTGGCTGAAACACAAAGCAAAATCAAATTAAATAACACAAAGGTAAATGCATATTTGCTTTACTTACTTTGGTCCTAATACACATTATAAATCTTGTGAAGATTCTAACACAGCGGGAATTAAAAGTCTATTCCATGGGGGGATATTATGGAGATAGTGATTATAAACTGAACAAATGTGAACCGTGAATCTTCCATTTTGAACTTTTCCCATAGCGCCGCCGTATAGTCACAAGACAGCTCTCCTTAGAGGTGTTTATTGTTTGGGTATAATGAAAAGCTTAAGAGAAAGTGAGGCAGGGGGCGTAAACAGTAGTCAGAGCATTTCAAGCATCTCTCATCACCACTCGCGTCTCGGCTGCCTTATTCCTCCGCCTATCCCCCCCGAATAATCAAGATGTTAAGCCGCATTAAAAAATATAATGCCGTGTATGGCAGGACTATCAATACTGCCTCTAAATTAATTACATTTCCGTTGCAGCGCATCATTTATTTTGCAGCGTTAGGGGCCTCTGTGGAGCCATTCGCCTTTATTGCTATCTTACTGGTTGATGAGTGAGCTATGTAAAATTGAGTCTCCAATATCATTACACTTAATGAGTTTAAACTTTGAGAAAAAAGGACGGGGAGAGATGGGAAACAGAAGACGAGAAAAAGGGAGAGGGGGAGGAAGAGAATGGGAGTGTTGTTTTGTTTTGGGGAAAGTTAATACAATATACAAGAGTGGGTGTAAGTGTTCGCGTGCATGTGCAAGTATGTTTGTTGGGGCAGGAATGTGGGTGTCAGGATTTGGTTTGCAGAGTTGCTAGTGATGTATGCACCAGTCTGCACTGTACAAAGAATACAGTATGTGGTATGTTACTTCAAACAAGAGCACTATAATATTTCACTATTTCACAAGGTTCAAAAATGTTGCTAATATTGAGCAATGGGTTTATTCATTTGACAAAAATATATATTTTTTTAACAAATTTATACTGGAATATTGAATAAAAAATACACTGTACAAGCCAAACAGGGCAATTTTATAATAAAGTAAACTGCAATTTAGCTGTAATCGCACTGCAAGTAATGTGCAAATGTGAATCTAAAATAATAATACAATTTTAAACTTGTTTTCTTTCACAACAAAAATTTCCAAAACATTGCTCATCTTATTAATAAAAATGTAATATGAAATATTAGAACATGATTGACATTTTCTGACCTTGTACTTATAACATACATGGTGTGTTTGCATGCGGAAGGCCACAGGTTGCGCTCATCTCCCTATGACGGTGCGGCCATTATTGTTCTGGTAATTGGCGTAGACAAAGCAGCCGTCACACTGCTGTTCCGCCTGGTTAAGTCTGGAGGTTCCGCATCTTTACCAACAATGACTTCACATGGATGAGTGCACCCTGGTCTACCTCCTTCTGTTCAGCTCAAGTGTGTTTGGGAATCGTCAAACCTACACTATAAAAATACACACTGGACCAGTCTGAAGATAAAGCACTTACCTTTTTACATAGCACTATTTTCCCTGCATTTATGTGTTTTTGAGCGTGTGCATAAAATCAGTGTCTCAGTCTTTGCTTGGGGCGGCTCACGGGATGGTAGGAGAGGAGCTGTGTTTGTGCTCTTGATGGAGGCAAAGACGAGTGAAGAATAGTTAGGGGCTATACAGTCAAACAAAAACAGGCAAGCCAAAATAAAGACTAAAGAAGAAAAGTGTGTAGCTGTGATATGTCGCCATTTTTGTTTGCATGTTTATATTCTACCTCAATCTCTCCATCCCTCCCCCACCTGCTCCTCTTGTCTTTTCCTCTGTTTTGCCCTCTTCCTGATCTGATACGTTACCTCTTCCTCCTCTAGTGCGTCTCTCCTCTACACAGTGCCTGGGGGCGATAGCAGCAAATCAAACTGTTTATCCATCTCTCATCAACACTGCCTCACAGCGCTCCGGCTGCCCCCTCACAACAATGAAAGGAAAGGCCTTGGCACTGAGCAGGGGATACACTTTAATTACATCAATTAGAAAAAATGCATAACAAAGTAAGAGTAAGGTAACAAAGTATTACCATGGAGCTGAGACAGACTTTGAAGGAATGCAAATGTATATTATGCACAATGTCTATCACTATGTAAAGCCAAGAATAAATGTTTTTGCACTTCCATATTTTTTTTCCTGTAGTCAAATGTGGGTAAAACGATAATATGTTTAAATTCTACACATAAAAAGGACATTGTCACACAAAACAACTCTTGACTTGCAATATACTTAAGGCGTGTTGAAAATCTGCAGTTTTGTATCCTATCTACAGCCAAGGGCAAAAAAGCGTACTAAAAGTATATTGTGAGGCAACATCAGTTCAGTTCATTGTAGGATAATTTTGTGATGGACTTTTATTAAAGCAGTAATAAAGGTCTGGATACTGGTGAGAAAGGCCTTTCACTTCATTTAGGTTGGGCTGACTCTTGGCTGCGGGGTGGAGGCAGAGCGTGCGGATGGCAGTGCAGAGGGGCGGGGAGTGTCAGCCAAATGGCATTGTGATTAGGAGCGTAATTGCAGCTCAGGGGCCCTGGGGCCACGCAGCGCTGGGGCCACTAGATAGAAGATGTTTAATACTGAGCTACTGAAAGAGGAGAAGTTACAGAGACTGGAGAAACCCATAGTGGGATGTCACTCACTGTCCTATTCTTCACCATGGATCACTCTTCTCCAGCCTCTCTTTGGTACTCTTGTCTCCTGTCCTCCTCCCTTGGCAGGATTAGCTGGGTCTCGTTAGAGGGGAAATGTAATAATGCTCCCACCAGGTGGAATCGGGCCCGCTCCATTATCAGTCGGGAGATGGATGGGCTGTGTAGGGCCGGCGGGGGCCAGGCGCGCACGCAATTTAGATTCAATAAACTGGCAAAGCAAGACCCCCAATCTGATTTATCTCTTACACGCTGCCAATGCTTGCTGCTACGATGCTGATTCCCTATTACCGCTCAGAGAAGGACTATTCATTGGATGTAAGGCACGGCAGTCGGAGAGGCTTGTCGGGCCCCCGGGACGGCAGAAAAACAGATACAGCACAGGGTTAATACGTTTACACACAGATAAGCAATTAAATCTAAGGCTGAGGTGAGTTATAGAGTTATTAAGGAGGGATCCGAGGGAGGTGGGAAGGACAGAGGGTGTGAAGAAGACACAGAGGTGTTATTCAACTGAAGAAAACCTTAGCTGGAGCCTAAGGCCGCGTACAGTTAGAAGGGCTATTATATTATAGAGATCATGAAGTAGGAGAACAACATAAGAGAAGCACTCTGCCCACGTCGCTCAGGAAATTCTGCACAAGACTCCCAAAGAATCATGCCAGGGCCAGAGGTCAACAGATCCTTAACTACTTAAGATGGTTGGCTTTTTTGCTTTTGAAGAAATATAATGGTTTGGATATGCAAGCGCAAGTCAGCAAGTCAAACACAAGTGCTTATGAGTTGGCGTAATAGGCACACACTTTTGAGTCTATACCTGCTTGAGCAGAAGACTGAGCTTCACTGTGGTGGTTTAGTTTGTGCGTGAAAAGTGTCAGTGCTGCTGGTGGTGGGTGTCATTCCTGCCATGCCAATCAAAGTGAATCTGGATGTCAGCAGGAGAAGAGGCGTGATAAATCAGCCTCACACCCGACGACAAACAGAATATTAGAGGCAGCACAGCGCCATTGGAAAAACGTCCCTTCTAATCTACGCAACACTTTACAGTGAGCCTTGCCAGCAAGAATACCAGAGGGACTAAGAAGACAATAAACACAAAGAAGAGAGAGGCTGACTGACCGATGGACAAACATGTAAAAAGGATGCAAAGAGGAAGTAAGAGCAGTAACACAAAGGTCGAAGGTTAGAGGTCAGGCCTTATGCAAGATAGACTGATGCATTAACTATTAACACTGAAGCATGAATCGTTATGTGACTAGAATATATGACATTTTATTACAAAACACATATATACAGTAAATTACATAAAGCAATGAAGTACTCCAAATATTAATGACAACTGCAGACCAAACAGACATGGGACCGTCAGTGTTTTTTTTTTTTTTTTCTCCCTCTCTCTCTTTGCGCTTAATTTTTCTTATCTTATGTCAAGAGTCTTTACATGTTCAAAAACTGCATCACAATGGGGGATATAGTGAAGCAGCAAACCATCATGAGAACACATTAGGATTGTTTAAATTAGTTGAATCCAACATAATATATGCCTATTTAATTATATTGCTGTATTGAAAGTGTATTTAATATTATTTTAGCTGCAAAAAGTAAAAAAGATGCTGTCTTTTAGTGTACAGCAGTTGCCCATACTAGTCCTACCTGATGCTGTCACTAGATGGCACACTACACAGAAATTCTAAGTATTGACTCCTGCTGTGTGCATTTATATTAGTGAGTCAGGTGGCAGAGTTTATTTCACACAGGATATCTCATAATATCAGAGTATTAAGGATATTTTGGAAGCAGAAAGTGGAACACACAGTTTAACTTAAGCTTGTGATGAGACTGAAGCCAGTGCTACGTAAATAAAAAGGGTGAATTTAGATAAATTAAGTTAAGGGCATTCATGTATAAGACGATTAAAGAGATCACTCTCAAATTCAAGTTCCCTCAGGCTCAACTTAAGGGAGCTGGATCACATATGGTGCATCATCATACATCAGATTCAAGTTACATTGTTTACTAATGCAATGTTCACTAAGTGACTAGTTAGAGAAATACTACCATGTCAATAATTTATTCAATAACAAGAACTTTTTTCTGTCTTAAAATATTTAGTATTTAGTATTGATGTAGCAGTAGGAAAAAGCCCACCGCAGTTGCATGCAAACAATGAGGGGTCTCAAATGAGCCTGAGAATGCGTCACACACACTGGGTTCTACTTGGGTTGGTCTAACACAAGCCAGGTCCATCTCCACTGGTCTTATTTTTGCCTAATTTCAGCTCTGTGCCAGTGCTGGACAATAACTGGGTGAGGCCATTATTATTCCT